TCGATGGACTCGGGTCAAAGTATCTGAAGTTAGTTGACCGAATTCGGGAGTGCGGCACCAAAAACAAAGAGTCCGCACAACTTAGGACAACAAATAGAAATTTAAGCGAAGTTATGTGATCCAGAAACAACGATTGCTAACTATCAATATATGTTATGAACGTCAAGCCATACTTTACCTTATTGCATTTTATTAAAATTAAGATAATACCCCAGAGAAATTTGACTATACTTTTTTGTTTCCGAAGTAACTCTCATCAACTAGCACTAGTTTGAGGTGAGTCAGCACTAGCTTAATGTCAACCTTTAGGAGTAATTCATCAAATTAGTTAAATTTAAAATAATAAAATCGGGTTTAATAGATGATTTCTCAAAAGACAATGTTGGCAAGGAAAGAAAGTCTCTTAAATCAAGTGACAATATTTTTTCTTTTGATAACCGAGAAATCGTCGAGGACCAGTGGCGCACGTTTCGAAACTCAGTGAATAATGGGCCTTTCCATCTACCCTTTTCCAATTAAATACTAGGCTTTTGTCTGCAATAGGGTTGCGCTCTTACCACTAGACCAAACCTATGAGGCCATCAGGTGAAAAATATTTACTGTCAAGTGTTTACGGACAATATAATTTAGTTATTGGGTGAAGTAGGTACAACACATCCACCAAGGAGACATGATTTCATTGACTGCAACCATAGATAGGGTATTGGTCCTCCGCCAGCTAAGTACTCAAGCTCAAGCAACGGAGAGAAGATATTATAAGAAATATCCAAATGTCTTTCCTCTTAAATAACTAAGCTTTTCAGATGAGGTGAAATCATTTGTTTCACTTTGAATAGTGAAGTCAAGGCCCCAGTTAGAGGCTCATTGTAGGCTTGGTCTTCGGGGAAAACTAAAAGAACAGCAGAAAATCCACAACCAGATCAGAAGTGTTGGAAGAATACTTTGATTAAAACATAAGATTTAAATGACTTAGAGCCCATGATGTACTAACTCATATTAGTTCTTGTACTGCAGTTTCAGCATATAGATAGATACTAACAACGCCATCGCACAAAAGTAGAATGAATGAAAATTGATTCATTCCTTAGTGATGAAAATCTGAATTAACGGCAAAGTCAAGAAATTACCTGAATGATTGTTTAAACCAGAATAGCAGTTGTAATAGGAAAGCATTATCTTGTTCAACTTTTGATGGTCTCAAGTTTCCCTCCTAAGCAGATATAGTACAGATGTCAGAAATTCTGGCAGATGTCAACCTACAAAATCTCATACTTAGACTGAAACTAAGCTCACACTCATTACCCATGTGACAAGCTATGTCAAGTAAGAAGTATCGTATATTCTGAATTGGTTTAAAATTTGTATGAATAAAACATGTTCTTCTTGTTGCTACATCTTTTTTATTTATATTTCATTTCAAAAATAAATCTAATTATTTGAGAACAAGCTATATCTGGTCTGAGGCCCATAATAACATATTCAAACTGAAGTGACAATCATCTTCTTGTCAGTAACAAAACTCAGTTTCAAGTAAAAACTCACAGCCAACGTTAACTTAATTTTCTTTCAGGAAAAAGGAAAGAAGAAATTGAGGCAACCTACTAAAAGGTGCACATGAATCAGTTCATCAATGGTTGTCAGAGACAACAGATCAAGCAACATTGATTTCTTACAAAATTTATCTCTTAAACACCAGAAGAGATAGGTACATCTATGTTTGCCACTCTTGAGAAGGTTTCTTTAACTGAAAGAAAGGGCAGTAAATCTTATTACATGATGAATACATTGTCAACATCTCAATCTGTTTCCAACCAAACAACACACCTCATAAGTTAATTTTTTCAAAGTTAAATATTATACTCATTATACACAATTACTGCACAACAATAAATTGCAAGATGATAGTTCTAACCCTTCCCAAAGAAATCAATGCTTTCTCCTCAAGCTTGTCCACAGGAACCGTCTTTCGAGCCATTTCTTGCCGATGCAGATCTTCATACTACAACATGAGGAGAGACATTTTATTATCTATCAAGGGAAACTGGTTTTAAATTATATCATAATTTGAGCATAAGTTATCCTAAGACTAGGGAAACAAAACCAATCCACAACTTCTACTGCATTCCACTTTTCCAGTCTAAAAGTCAATGATGAATTACTCTATCCATCCCACTCCATCCACAGAATTAAGAGAAAAGTGAGATTAAGGATATGGCATAATTTACATACTTTACTCCTATTCAGAGAAAAAAAATAATATCAAATTGATTATAGGATTTTGTGCGCAAAGTTGGTATTGCAAAAGACATCAAGAAGCATACCAAAGTTGAATCGCAGAACATTTGAATTCTTGAAACATCAAAAAAGTGCATAGGAGTAGTTAGTATTTATGATATATTCAAATTCTTTTAAAAAATATATTATTTATGGAAATGCATCACATTTTTTAGGCTTCTAAATTAGAATACCTAAAGAAACAACTATGCAACACAAGTTAAGATGGATCAAAAGAAATCCAGACCCAACAAGAGATACCATTAGAACTTGATTAACATATGGCCGTATCCGCTGTTCAACTTGCTCCTTATTTTCACTAGCAACAAACTGCTGCATCATAAGAGCTTCTTCTTCTGCCTAGATGCACAATCACATGATAATAAATGAGTGTTAACATCATAACATGATATATAGTGTTTTATGGTATATGATCAGAACATATATTGATAATTAGAATTACTTCCGACTTCAAAATGCTCTAGCTAATTATAGCTCCACCTTTACATCTCTTGCTTTCCTCTAGAATCCCACTACCATCATTACATTCATTTTTGTTATATTTATTCAAAGTGAAGCACATAGCTCAAAACTACTTATACTGCAATCACATTGGCAGTTCAAAAAAAAAACATCTGACATCAAATAACACAAATGCGTGACAACATAAACCAAAAAATTCAATGCAGAACCTGAAGAATCCGAGCCAACTCTTCATCTGACATCGCTATTTCTGACTTTTCTTTCTCCTGAGCTGATATTTCATCTGCATCTCCATCAAGTGATACCAACCGGAGCTTATCTGATATTGAAGCGAGATCTGACTCGTCGGATACAATTTGATCATCTCTTCCCAATATCTTCTCATCATTTCAATTTTAACAAATAAAATGCTCAAGTTCACAATCATTTCAATTTTAACAAATCGAATACTCAAATTCGCGCTAGCATGTTCATGCAATTACATATCATATGGACATATGCATAACAAAACATCTCTTCAATTCAATTTTTATCAAGCTTATCAAGAGATTTACTCGAGATCAGGGTCATATGATACAATCTTATCATCTCTCCTCTAAATATCTTCAAAATTTCCATTTTTATTGTAAAATCAACTTCAAAATTCAGAGGCAAGTACACAACCACACACATTGCATTAACACAGTTCGCTGAAACGCTTCTCTTTAAGATTCAAATTTTAGAGATCACGGTCATAATTGATTCGAGATCAGAATTATCCAATAAAGATATGATCAGTATCTCCTCCCAATATATTCTCATCATTTTCAGTTTTTAGCAACTCGAACACTATAATACACCAAAACACAAACAAACACATAACACGAGATCACGATCGTAGAATACAATCAGATCACCGGAACCTTCCAATTTCTTCTCGAAGTTCCAATTTCACATAAAATCAATGATAAAATTCACAAGCAAATGTAAAATATGTGCACATTACAAGTCGTCACCTTTTGTTGATCGGGAGGAACAGAAGTGAGAGAGAAGAGCTGGTATTTGAGGACCTGGAAAAAGGAAGAGAGAAGAGAAAAAGGTTTGTAAATGAAAAGGAGGATGAATTTGAAGAAATGAGAATGAGAGGAGGAGGAAGAGGACTTCGAAGCCATCGTCAGTGTCGTAGTCGATGTCGAAGGTGGAGTCGTTGTGACTAACGGCGAATTTTCGAGCCACCATTCTTGGAACTTGCTCTATCTGCTGTTTTTTCCTTCCTTCCTGGTTTTGGAATTCGATTCCTTCCTCCTCTATGAGTAATAAAAGCATGCACTAGTTACTGCGGCGTTTCTGCTGATTTGTACGGTGGAGGGACTTGTTAGGCTTAATACATATTTTATCACCCAACCTTTGGCCCAAATCCACATATCTAGTACCCACTTTCTTTGACCAAATCGTGTTAACAAGACATCCGTATATGTCATGCATTTGATTTTAATTAATTTTAACCCATTACCTTATAATAACTAATCCGACCCTACCCGACCTTAACGGACCCTACCCGACCCACAAGATAAAAAGCGTTAAAACCAAACTTACCCAAGTCAGTACTCAAAGTTCGATACATCTACAAGGAGCTACTGTAAAGGCGATTCCTGACGACCATCTCAAGCTACGCTTTCATCGTGGATTTCCGGTGGATTTATGGGGTTAATAGGTTAGTAATTTTCTTCTCCTTGCATTACCCGTTTATTTTAGTAGTGGGTGGGTTGAACCTAGGGTTTTTTTTAAATTTCTTCTATTTTGCTTAGGGTTATCGGACTTCTTAAAAGGGGAATCTTTTGTCATTGTCGATATCACTGTGAAGTTGTCGTCTTGTTGCCTTTACAGATAGTTTTTTTTATAAAAAAGATTTGTCTTGTGTTTGCAAACCGTGTGTAAAGTTAGGGTTTAACTGATTATTGTAATAACATTGCTTTGAACAATGTGATATGCTCTTGTCTTTGTCTCCACCTTTATATTTCATCTGTAGTTCTTTATTTTCAATTGTTGCATGTGGAAAGTCCATTTATTTGTTTGCAGATAATGTCTTTTAAAATCATTACCCTCAGGTGGTACCATGATGGAGTATTAATTCCTGGTAACTTTGCTCGTTATGTGGGTGGTAGTCAAACATTGACTTTAGATGTAGATGTGGATTTACTGTCTCTTATTGAACTGATGAACTACACTAGGATCTATGACTTTCAAAATGTGGCTAAGTTGTATATTTGTCCAATGGATAGGACAGATAAATTGGTAAATATTCTCACAGACAAGGATATTTTAGACATTTGTAATGAATTGGAAGATAGGGATACCTTAGATATTTATATGACTCATGCTGCCCCTTTATGTGTTGTTGACATAAATGAGGCTAGTAAAGGGGTTGGTGGGTCTAATAGTGGAGCTTTTAAGAGCACAACTGTCTTAGAAGAAGAGTAAGATAATGAATCTGAATCTGAATCTACCCCTACTCATGAACCTACCCCTTCCCCTTCTTCTTCTCCTTTTTCTGAACCTGCTCCAACCCATGCACCTTCAAAAGAACAAGAGAGTGGAGTAGATAGTGAATCAGACTTTGATAATAGTGAAGGTGAGGATGACAATGAGAATGATTCAGACTTTGACAATAGTAATAGTGATGAGAGTGATGGAGTAGATTTACATGTTCCTGATGATAAGGATTATGGATCTGATGTTCATGAAGAATTTGTAGAGTGTAGGGATGAACTGAGTAAGTATAGGAGGAAAAGGAGTGAAAGGCCAGAAGATAAAGGTGATATTAGCTTAGGTGATGCAGGAGTTGATATTGGTTTTGATGAATTAAGAACTGGTAGCAAGCAAGATAGGTACACAGGCTTAGTAGGGGCAGATGAGCCTTACTTTGGGTCTTCAGATGCTGAAAGTTTTCCTTCAGATGCTGAAGATGAATTTGATGAAGAACATAAGAAGAAAATGGCTGCCAAGAGGAGGAAGAAAACCCTGATATTTGATGTCAAGAAAATAACCTTGGAGTTGGGGCTGATTTTTTAGAGTGTTGAATAATTTAGGTTTTCTGTTAGTAAGTATGCAATTCAGAAAGGAGTTCAAATTGAAAAGTATATTAATGAACCTAGTAGGGTGAGGCTAAGATGCATGCATCCAAAATGTCCATGGATCTTGGCTGCAAGCAAAGATGGCAGATCCAATAATTTTAAGGTAAAAAGGTATTGTCATGTCCACAAGTGTTACAAAATAAATAAAAACAAGTTTTGCAACTCCAGATACCTAGCCAATCATTACAAGGATAAGATTGTGTGTCAATCAAATATGAAAGTTTGGGAGCTAAAGAAACTCATTAAGGATGAACTAGACAAGTATGTTGGTAGGTCTACTATACATAGAGCTAGAGCAAAAATTCTGAAGGAGATAATAGGTGATGTGTGTCACACCTCCTTTTTCCGCACCCGCGAGGGCGCGAGGGAGTTTTTTTCAATTAAAGGACATTCGAAATGGGATTGGTTTAATTATTTCAGAGTCGCCACTTGGGAGATTTAGGGTGTCCCAAGTCACCAATTTTAATCCCGAATCGAGGAAAAGAATGACACCATATTACAGTCTGCGTACCAGAAATCCGGATAAGGAATTCTGTTAACCCGGGAGAAGGTGTTAGGCATTCCCGAGTTCCGTGGTTCTAGCACGGTCGCTCAACTGTTATATTCGGCTTGATTATCTGATTTTATACAA